GGGGAGACGAACCATGAGAGACTATGGACTCTGAGAAACAAACTGAGGGTTCTAGAGGGGAGGGGGGTGGGGGGATGGGTTAGCCCAGTGATGGATATTAAGGAGGGCACCTGTTGCAATGAACACTGGGTGTTATACGCAAACAATGAATCGTGGAACACTACATCAAAAGTTAATGAAGTGCTGTATGGTGACTAACATAACATAATAATAAAAAAAAATTTTGGTGCTGTTCAAGGAAACGTATGCCTTACTCTTTAATGTCTCCATTATTATCACCCCAAAGTTTCCTTACTGTGATGTCAAAACATGAGAGGACAATCATCAATCATGTGTTAAAAAAGACTTTATGATATTTTGACATCTTGGGGGCCTCACTGGGCTGGTCAGTCAGAGGCAGCAAAGGGTCCATGAGGAAGCATAACTTTCATATGAGAACCAACCAATCCAGAGCCCACACTCTGAGCCACCTCCTTTGTCTGGCTCTTAACAGTCCATGAAAAAAGAGTCCTCGGCCTTACTCACCCAGGGCACAATACAAGAGAAGATCCCACCCGTATAGCCCAAAACCCACCACCACCCAAACTAGACAATCCCAAGCTGTTTCCCCTGCCCTGCCTGGTGTTTCCCACAGAAACACAATAAAGGCTCTCCCCCACACTCCTGCTTCTGCCTTCTGGCTCTGGTGCTTCCCCATGTGGCCCTGAGTGCATGCCTCTCATTTCTAGTGGAAATATGAGTAACAATAAATTTTTCTTTCAGTGGCATGGACCTCTCTGCATTGTCACCCAGCCACTTAGAAATTAAGTCTTGGGCACAAATCAGAGCTATGTCCCCAACTAGTCTATCTGCAGTGGGGGCAAATGAATTTTTTCAATAATTTATGCTACTGCAATATTCTAATACTCAATATGCTAATATTCACCTAAAAGCAGGTCCACTACTAAAAGCTACTTGTCAGGATTCAGCAGACTTGGTAATTTTTTTTTTAGCAGTTGAGAGGCCAAAGTTAAGGTGAAGTTAAGGGGAGGAGTTGCAAAGGTGGAAATACCTCCTATGAGTCAGAAAGCAATGGCTCAGAATGAAGCATTAGCCCCATTAGGGACGAGGTGATACTGGGCAACAATCAGGGTTCAATTTTTCCCATATGGCTGGCACAGCTCACCCTACTCATTCAGATCTAGCCTCCCTGGCTTTTTAGTTTCGATGAGACACAGAATCAGAACAGGGTCTTCTCATAAGGGCAGAGCTACAGAGAAAGAGCTTCTTTCTGCAAGCTGCCACTGCTATCCATGTTGAGAATGGGAGATGGGGACCTTTCTACCCTATTCCATGGGAGTATTTAGGAAAAATAAAACCTCATGCCTTAAACAAAACTCACCCAACATTTATTTTCCCTCCTAATGCTCCATCTTTCTTCTTTGTATCTGTCACAATATTTGATAGGTAGCAGCTAAATTTTAAAGAGTGGTACCTATCAAAGTAATTTAACATAAAAGGGGAAAGGAAGAAGAAACAGATGAGTACTTTTTAAAAGCAATTTAAAAATCATAATGACTTCTATGTAATACAGCTAGTCCAGGCAATGGAGTATTTTTGTGATTATAACAACTACCAATTTTCAAATAATTTTATGACAAAATGATACTATCATAGTTCGTGGTAATTCTACCATCTATAATTTTGTTCCTTGACGATTCAAAAGTCCTGTAGTAAGACTTGATATATGTTAATAGTTGAGATACAACTTACTAAACACTTTTGGTGCTTTTTGGTTTGGGAGATGGGGGGGCAGTGATGCTTAAGAGAAGAAAGGACATCTTTGTGGTTATAAAAATGGGATAACACTCCAAAAGTTGGCACATGAATTGGTTATGAACCACTTATGTGGTTGCATGGAAAAATCTTAAAATTTTACATTTTTTTAAATTTGGAACTTTAAAAAGTATTCTAACTTTCAATTTTGAAGATGAGGACACATAGGGAATGTGATATCCTAAAAATCTCATGAGCTTTCAGAACACTGCCCATCAGGATAACAGTTGTATTTCAGAGATGTAGGCAGGGATGGAATTACGAGTCAAGCCACTTAGGAGAGTGAAATGAAAAAACACCTAACAGAGTTTACAGAATGTGCCTCAAGTACTATACTTAAAGAAGAAAAATTACTCCCCCCACACTCTTATTATTACTCTAAGTAGATTCTGTTTTTATTCTGATGTAACTAGACCATTAGTGTTGGAACATTTTCAGTAAAATTAAACTTGAATGTTCTGACTCTGAATGAGACCTTGTTTTCTGAGAAATATTAGAAATGACATCTCCATGATAGAAAAGAGGTATGTGGGGGTGGAGCTGTTCCACTGCTTTAGCTAAATTTGTAGCAAATTTGTAGCAAACTGGAGTTTATGTTTCCTTAAGTTTGTAAAGGGAAGCTTCCCTCATAATATGACTTGAGATATTATTTCCCTGGTCCAACTTCCTGATAAAGAATGTCATCTCAGGGGCGCCTGGGTGGCTCAGTCAGTGAAGCATCTGCCTGCAGTTCAGGTGATGATCCTGGGGTCCTGGGATCAAGTCCCACGTCGGTCCCACGTCGGGCTCTCTGCTAAGTGGGGGTCTGCTTCTCCCTCTCCCTCCCTGCCCCCCACACTGCTTGTGCTCTCTCGAGCGTGTGCTCTCTTCTTCTCTAATAAACAAATAAGATCTTAAAAGAAAAAAAAAAGAATATCATCTAAGTGCTCAGGAAGTGCCCATCTGATCCTGCTCTGCTCTAGGCAGAGGTGAGATGCTGGACAGAGCCTGAAGTGGTCACAGTCCATTCCCTTGGGTGTCAAAAGACAGACAACCGAAACTTTTGCTGTTCTAGCTACATCATTACTGCCAAACAGGCTTTTACACAAGAACACTTGGAAAGAGCTGACAACTGAGAAAAAAGCAGACAGAATCAGGAAAAGATAAGTTAGTGGTTCTGGTCAGAGATCTGTGCCAGTAATGACATTTCAGGAGTAAGGCTGAGAAAGCAACAACATCTGATGTACAGTCAAGCCCTGGTACGCTGAGCACAGGGACTTAACTTCAGGAAGGCTCCTGGGGAAACTGTGAACACACTGTGGTTATTTTACATACTCTCAGGTGGAAACAGCAATGATATGGTTTTAAGGTAGGAAAAATTCTCCAAAAGAGAAAGAAAGAGAATGGTCAGTGCATACCCATGTCCATGAACCATTCCCAAGAAAGGTCCTCTGGCATACTAGACAGTTTTGTTTTCTTTTAGATGATCAGGTTAAGATACAATGCCTAAGAAGGTTGGATACTATCATTAACACATGAATCAATAAAATATTTTAGAAATCATTTGGCGAAACTGCCTTTAAACCATGTTCAAGATGAGATTTGAGATTTGCAGGAAGTGAGGCACTAGAAACATCTTATTGGAAATACTTTCACATTTTCACTTTATGACTAAGTTATATAAGAATAATATTTTCTCACTCCCATAATGAAACTGAGCTTTAGCTATTGAAAACTTCTACAATTAAAATGAAACACAATTATAAAGTCTTTCTAATAAAATGCTTGATGGATTGATAAACAACCAACTTTTGACATTATGAAATATATTTGTTAAAACTCAAATGTCATACACCTTGAATAAATACAGCAAAACTTAGAAAGCTGTGCTTTATTCCCTGGCCTGGTTCTCATCATCTTTCCATTCTATCTACAGCATAGACCAAGTAGCCTACTCAATGCACTAGCTGGTTAGGCCAGTGAGAACAATTCAGTATCTCAGGTTCAAATGGTTATTCCGATTAATACTACCAACATGCATCCGAGGCTGAAGTTGTCATGTATTGTTCTTTAATAGATAACACCAGGTCTGATCACTTCTGAAACCTCTTTTCAAAAGACACAAAGAAAAGTTTTAGGTTGAACATGGAGGAAAAACTTGCTGACTATTTACATCCCATCCCCACCTCCGGCTTCTTGCATATTGTCCTGGTATGTTTTCCTGGAATAGATAGATGCCCATTCCATAGCAGCTTTTTCATGTCTTCATATATGAGTGGATGGATGGTGAACTCAAATTACTGATGGGCCTAATTTCCAATGCAAATCCTAGTAGCAAGAGGACAATTTCCTAAACGCTTAGTACCCACCAAATAACAAGACAGGGTTATGTTTTCAAGGAATTTTTTGCACTAGTTTGGTTGTATGTTGACATACCAATGCATGTAGAGTTTTAGCTAACTTTTGCTCACTCTTTCTTGAGTGTGTAGGAATATATATCCTCAAGTCACCTATACTGTTCTCAGATTTTTCTATATCCAGGGTACACCTTTGTGTATTCTGACGTTCATTTGATTACAACATGCAATGTACAATATCTGAACTACCGCCGGACACAAAACACAGTTCTATCGAGCAGCTACAGCTTCTTGGGTGACGACTAATTTGGGCTCCTGCACTGGACCACAGTTTGATTCCCCAACTTCACAGACAACTTCACAGTGACACACAAAGCCTAAGCACATTTTCAGTTAGCCTGTGTTCTGAGAAATCTGCTTCCAGATAAAAATGTGGTTTCCCCTTCCTGTCTAGCCACCAAAGCATGCTATTTCCATCTGGTACAGGAAGACACTTCACTGGGGAAAGGGTACTTCTTTCTTGCAAAACCTAAACCACTTGTCAACCATCTGTGGTGTTCCCTGCTGTCAGTGAACTACACCCTAGAGCCTCTGCTTCTGAGAGATTCTCTTAGGTTCTTTTCCAACCATGGGCTCCATTCAAACTTCAGACTCATCTTGCACAGAGTCAGGTTCCGTGAGGCACAGACCTTTAACATTTGAGTAGGAGTCAATGTTTGCTAAGTGTTCCATTTTGTAACCCTATCAACGAGCATTTTACAAAGCATGATGAATGGGATGATATTCTCCATGCCTAGCACTCTTCACAAAAGTACAAGGGCTTCCAGAAACCTTGAGAGAGAGAGAAAATTAATTATTTCTCTCCCTGCTATTAACCAGCTCCTGCCGACTATTCATCTTACGCGTGATGATGACTAATATTCGCCGAATGGCAAGCAGACGCTCTTTAAGGGAGATCATGCCAAGAATAGCCAGCTGAGCCTTGCGTTCCAATGGCAACACCGCCAGGATCCACCAGGACCATGCGGGGCCACTAGGGTTACTCTGCAAAAGAAATGAAAGCAAATCAAAATTATCACCTAAAATACAAGTCTCTTCCCCCAATACTGTCCTTCTGTTTCACCAGTAAGGCAGGAGCAAGAATTAAATGCTACCTTCTATTTTAGGTCTACTTCCCATCCATTCAGCCCTTGACATACAAAGTTTGCTTTCCTGCTACACATTTAAATGTGGAAGAACTCACAAAACAAAGAGCTTGCAAAGAGAAGCATATTCCACAGAGAAATTTCATGAATTACTTGCTTCTGTTCTCTCAAAGCTTTAGTTGGGAGTACATAGCTATTGGATGAAAGGACCATAATTTTTACCTTTATTTCCAGTGTTCTGTGTTATTGTTTTTTAGTTTTAAATACCACAAAAACTCAATATTAGAAAGGCTAAAATTATGTGTACAAGTTTGAGTATTATAATAAAGCTTTTAATAGCTATGTGATAAATGTGCACACATAGATGGAACATCTATATATGAATTATTGTTAATTATATATATGGGAACCACCACGAATTAACTGTACAAGAATTATTATGCTGATACCCTTTATTTCACGTACCCAAACACACACTTCTGGATTGAGCTCTAAGCAAAGCTGGTCATAAAGTTGTTCTCAGTATTTCTGGCATTAAGAACCAAGATAACCAGGCTTCCCAGCTTCCTGTCCTGGATTCTCCTCCAATCCCACCCCAAAGGTACACAGAATCCCACCTGGGAACGAGAGAGGGTAGACTCTGGTGTCAACTTAGTTTAGGATGAGGAAGATTCTACTGAAAGATCGGGAGGATTACATTTGAGATAATTTTTGGCTTACAGGATGGTCTTGAGTTTGGAAAAGACATGGGGGGGAGGGGGAGACGTCAGAAATCCTCAAGAGATAGAAAAAGAACATAAAAATGAATGGGAAAAGTACAAAGGACATTTCCTCTTCCCCCAAACCTTCTGAGAACTGGTCCTCCAGCCCCACTCTCTCCACAAGAAAGATGAGCATGTACAGTAGAAGGAACTACATACTCTCAGCCACAAGCCTAAGCCATCCCTGCCTGGCTCTGTCACCCAGAGGAGGAGGAGAGGATTCATTTGCACTTAGAACTGCTTCACAGCCTGAAGCCAGGCATTGCCTGAAGAGCCAGCTTCACAGAAAGCACGCTTGCAGAGCACCAGAGAAAGCTGGGCTGGACAGAAGGCAGGAAGTCTTCTAATTTAATGAGAGTTTGATTTTCTCTTCATTTATTCAACACCTGTTTATTAGGTGCAAGGCAATATTATGTGCAAAACACGGAGTGTTCATGCCAATATACAAGGATTATTACTCTCTAAATCGTAAGATTTAAACAGTTGATTTAAATAGTTGGAGAAGAAATAAAACAGTTGGTTTAAATAGTTGGAGAGAAATAAAAGTACTAAAGCTGACAGCCAATCAGAATAAATTTTTTTGATAGAAAAGAAATTACCTTTATGCAGTACTAATCAGAAAGCATTAACTGTTTTGCTCCAAAAGGCACATGTTACTATATTAGGCGCTTCTTTGTGCTGTCGATAAATGAATTGGTTCATAAGTGATCACGATAGAGTATATTGCATAGTACTGCCTAATTTTCCTTCAGAATAATGTCTTAGCACACTATATAGCAGCAGATAATAGCATTATAAAAGAAATAAGGAGACTATACCTGAGGCTCAGATTCCCTGTCTGGCATTAACCCAAAATGGCTTAAAATTTGTTCCTTCATGTGATCCTGAAGTGAAGTAAACCAGGAAACCGACTGTTGATAAACTGAATCATGAAGACTGGTAAGTTCTTCATATGCTGGACCTTCCACCTGATCAAGGAAAAAGGGACCACCATTTCAACAACTCATTATTACACATGAAATGTAGCAACATCTGCCGCGTTTGCTAAGTGGATTCGTGGCATTTATTTCTTAGATAATTGATTCGTGTTTTATAAACCTATTATGTGCTCAACATACAAATCTGTACTTTTCTTATACAGTGAAGATCTATCTACCCTGTCTTTCTATAACATCCTGATTTTTCTCTTAACAATATAAACATATCCCATATTACTATAAGTAATTTTCAATGGCTACATGCAATCCTATATTTGAGAATTTACTCCACCATTCAGATAAGATATATTTAAAAATAACACAGCAATATAAATATTTATGCAAAAGTAGGGGGGGTTGTTTTATTTTTGTTGTCGGTGGTGAGAGAAGGGGCCATCATTCCCTCAGGATAGTTTCCTAGAAGTAGAATTGTCAAGTCAAAGGGTGAGACATTTAAAATATTGTATTCCATATCACAAACTATATTCCAAAAAACATGTTACGGCTACCACACTTCTCTGCATTAGCCTTACACAGCCTTACACAGCCTTACACAGCCTGATGCTTTAGATTTACCATGCTTTGCTTCTGGCTGCCTATCTCACTGCCAAATCATTCATTTTAAGTATGTCCCAGTCCTACTCAGGAACACCTAAGTGGGAAAAGCACTGGGCAGGGGATCAAGTGACCCCGGTGTGTTCTGGCTTCACTGCTGATTCTCATGAGCCAGTCACACAGCCTCCTGAGGGTAGGGGTTTTTCATCTACAAAGTGGGACTAAACCATTCAGGTCCTTTCTGGTTATAAAATTCTAGTATCTCTGAAAACTAGGGTAAACTGAGGAATTAGATTATAATGCATACAACCATTCTCAATTTGACTTATACAAATTAAACATTCTAGGTAGTAGAGGATTTTCTTTTTTTAAAAAAAAACATCAAAATTATTTCATGTTGTAGCTATGTAAGCTCTCATTTTACATACATAGACCACTAAAAATCACCATCCACGTCAATAAACCCTCTCCTCAGATTTGTTACTGGGGCAGCAGAGGGACCCCGAAAACAATCACACACAGTCACATCCTTTAAACCCCACTCTCTGGTCCTGTGGCGTTAGGGTTGACTTGCTGTGCTTGGCTCCCCTGCACCTCGAGCCCCTGTGCTCAGGATGACCAGAACCAGCAGCTGGAAAAGGGATGGTGCTGGTGCTGTGGGTGTGGCTCTTCTCATGGGCATCATGGATGTACATCACTGTCCCCAAAGTGACTTCCAGGGTGATGTCAGACAGCTAAAGACTCTCACTTTCCATGTTTCTAAATGTGAACCAAAGAATTCAAAAGAGGGATACAGTAATTCCAAGGATTTCCTCTTTCTAGATGGTTGTAATATTTTTCCTGCAGGATAATTTACATACAGAAAATGCATCAATCTTAATGACTGGCTCAGAGTATTGTCAGCCGTACACACCAGTGGGATCATGATCGTCAATAGGACAGGGGGCATTTCCATCACCCACAATGGCCCTCCCTCTACCCCCAGCCAGTCTCTGCCCTCCAACACCAGAGACAAGTGATGCCTGGTCTTGGAATTTATAAATGGAACCACACAGCATGTGTGGTTGTATGCCTGGCTTCCCTGGCTTAGCATCACATTGAGAGATGTGTTTGTTGAGAGACGTAGGAGATTCTTCCACGTTGTTCTGTGTGTCAGCAGTTCCTTCATTTTTATTGCCAAGTAGTATTCCATTATATAAATATACTAGTTGGTTTATCCATTCCTCTGCTGACGAGCATCTGCACTATTTCTTGGTTTTGGCCATTAATGAATAAGACTGCTAGGGACATCTTTGTACCCATCTTTCTGAGAATCTCTTCAAAACATTTTGTTAATCTGTCAAGATATGGGTTCTGATATTTCTATTAGACATATCAGTATTTCTTAAGGGGTAAGAAATCCAAACCTTTTACACTGAGCTTTAGAAGGTATTTTTAAGCACTGTTTTTTTATATTATATCTCATTCTGAACTAATACCAGCATCCAGAACAGGGATGGACTACTACTGACAAGTCAAATCCTGTTCATTGCATATGTTTATTATGTAAACAGCATTTTATTGGAAACAGGTCGTGCCACCTCATTTACAGACTGTCTACAGCTGCTTCTGTGCTAGAAGAGCAGAGCTGACTAGTTGCAACAGAGACTGCATGACCTGGAAAGTCTACAGTATTGACCATATGGCCATCTGTAGGAAAGGTTTGCCAACTCCTGAGCCGGGACACCAAGACAACAAATCACAAAGACATTTTGCAATGTGCAACAGTAAGGTAATTTTTTTGAGGAGGAGATGTGTCCACCAGTCCCAAATCAGGTGAAAAATCCACTGAGGTAATAAATTAGGGAGGATATAAGTCACCTTGTCAGTAAAAATCCGACCAAGTGTTTCCACAGCGCAGAGGGAAACAAGGTGACTGACCGCTAAACACGCAGCAGTAAAATATACCTCACCTTTTCATCTTCGAGATATTCAATGTCAGCTGTGTTATAGCCATCTCTGTGACGGTGACTCAGAACTCGGAACCGACTAATCCCAATGGCATCCACAACCGAACTCCCATCAGGAAACGTTCTGACGTCCTTAATCTCCAGCATGCAGCCGTACTCTGAAATTCTGACAGGACAGTTGGGAGAAATGACCACGATTTTAAAAACACAGAAGATCCAAACAAAACTAATGGTGTCTCCGCATGGGACCAGCAAGCTTATTTTCCCTAAGAGACACCTGCAGATGATTCCTTATTTTCCCTAAGAGACACCTGCAGATGATTCCACACACATACAGTGTGCTAGGGCTGCAGTGGTTCAAATAAGCTAGTGCTCTGGAAGGACCTGAGAGGTGGAGAGAGAATCCTCAGTCCCCTGGTCAGGGCACCGGCAGGGGGCTACAGAGAGCACACGGTATGTCTGGGGGCCGCCATGCCACTCACAGATTCTGCTCCCTCCTTCCCCATTTCCACTGATGCCGGCCAGCTCTGTCCTTCCCAACAAACTGCTATGGAAAGTCATCTACAGTCACTGCCTTCATCTCCTGCTCCCCAGCAGGTCTCCATACCCCACCATTCCACTGAAATGACCCCACTGGAAGTCACACATGGCTCTGGCATGAGCCTGCTGATCTGTCACCGACCCAACACCCTCTGCTGCTCTCTGTGGTACTCCCTGACCTGTACAGCCCTTTACAGATGCCTCCCTCCTCCACATGTCCCTCACACGCAGGGCCCACCCAGGGTGGCATCCTTGCTCCAAAGCTGTCCCCTGTGATCTTAACCACTCTCACTCTTGTAACTCTCATCTGCTTCCAGAGGAGACTGATTGAGCCCATTACATGTCAAGCATTACATGGCGTGGTTTATAATATGTATTCATCCAAGCCTCACAAAAACAGGAAGGTTTAAAAAAATCAAACAACTTATGTAAGGCCATGGCAAGATTTAGACCTGAGATCTGAACCCAAGGCTACCTAATTCTAAAGTGAAAGAACAACCTCATTACATACCTTCAAGAGAACAATGAGTGACGGTTCCCAAGTCACACACCTGTAAGGCTGGACACCTCTACTTGGATCTCTCCTAAAACTATCTCTTCCTGCTTATCTAACAGGGCTATCTTACCCATAGCCAGTGGCATTGACGGAGGTGCCCCGAAGATTCCCTTCAAGGGAGGACTTCCTGCCCCAGCCATCAGCAGACAAATGCCTTCAAATGTCAGCTCCTCCAAAGCCTGTCTCAGCTACAGAAACTGTCTTTCCAATGAGCATCCTGTCCTGTCTGTGGACAAAAACTTGTGAATGAAGGCAAATCCCCTTTGCATCTGTAACTCCTAGAGCATCTGGACTCTCATGCTTGTCCACATGAAGTCATTAGAACATGGCCCCCAAAAAACTAGCTGAATTCTTCCTACCCACTTGCAGGTCTCCTTCTTCTGGGCTCTGTCACAGGTAAGCCAGGCTTTTGTCTACTGCTCTCCCTGGAGGGACTTGCCTCTCCTCACTTACTGTGAGCAACCTCTGCTCACCAACAGGTTCAAGAAACTTACATCCTAGAGTTTGTCTGGAGTAATGCTCTTCTTAGTGTTCTGTATTCTTCATGGAAGCAGAACTTCCGGAACTTGTTTTTTCACTCTGCTTTTGCTGATTTTGATGAATCAAATTTTAATATATTCAAATGTATTAATCTCTTCTTCCATGCTATGTGCTCTCAGCATCTTGTACAAAAAAAAAAAAATCTTTCCCTTTTCCTAATTATAGTCTCCAATGTTTTCTCTTAAAATTTTTATATGTTGTTTTTCATACTGAGAATGTAAATAATATGTGTTAATTTGTGTATATGGTACAAGGCAGAGAAAAGATTATTTTTCTCCATCTGGACTGCCCACTAATTTTCTAAGCACTTTTTAAGTGAGCAGCTTGCCTTTTCTCACAAAATTATATGTAAATGTGGGGTCCATAAATGAGCGGATCTGTTCCTTATCTCCATATTCTGTTTCAGTGATCTACTTACTAGGACTTCTAAGTTTATTTTGAGAGTGTTCTCCCATCTTACTCAACGGATTTCTTCAAAACTATCACGGTTTTGATCTTTTACTTTTCCATAATAATTCTAAAAATCAGCTCAAACAATTCCATGAAAAACCCCTCTTGCAATGTTGACTGAAACTCCTTTAGATTTATAGACTAATTTGGGTAAAACTGACATTTCTATGACATCAAAGTCTATGCATCCATCCATGGATATGGTATTTCTCTCCATTTATTTAGATCTTCCTGAATATTTTTCAATAAAGCTGTAGAATTTTTTCCATAAAGGTCCTACACATATCTTTAAAAAGATCTCTTCTGGGGAGCCTGGGTGGCTCAGTCGGTTGGGCGTCTGCCTTTGGCTCGGGTCATGATCCCAGGGTCTTGGGATCGAGCCCCACATCGGGCTCCCTGCTCAGAAGAGAGCCTGCTTCTCCCTCTCCCTCTGCCTGCCTCTCTGCCTACTTGTGCTCTCTCTCTCTCTGTCAAATAAATAAATAAAATCTTGAAAAAATAAAAAAAAGATCTGTTCCTAGGTATATATGGTGGAAACTAGTGGATAGTCCTACATATCCATTCTCTTTTTCTTCCTGGACACATGGGTGGGCTACATTTCCCAGCCTCCATTGCAGTAGGTGTGAGCAACAGTGATGTGTATCCCTTTTCTCCAAAATCCTTCCAGAGCAGATGTGCCTCTTCTACCAGCTACAACTTGCATGTAGTGACCTTATCATAACCATGCAGTAATGACAAAGCCCTAGGGGATGAGCAAGCCAACAGATGGGAAGGACCCAGAGTCCCCAGAGCAGCCATGGAGCGGAGCTGCCTGCCAATTTGATGTAAAACAAGGAGAGGTAAAAACTTAAGAGCTGGGGTTGTTATAAGACTGAAATTTGTCTGCGCTGTGTAGGTAGAGGCTTCAATTTTTTAGCAAATTTTTTAGACCTTAAAAGTTAGACTGGATTTGTTTGCATGATGGTGAACTAGAAAAGAATTACAGGTAGAAAGAAGCATGAATACGAGCTGTATTTAGAGAAAGGCAAATAATATGGTAGTGGACTAGCAAGTATGATGTCTGAAAGAAAGGAGTAGGAGATGAGGCCAGAAAAAAGCCTGGGACCACATCACAGATAGCCTCAGACTTAGACATTGTTGTGTAATGGGAGCTACCGGAAGTTTTCGATATCATCTTAAATTGTTCTTTGAGAAAAATAACAAGTTATGTATTTATTTAGGACCCTATGAATGCTGGCAATTCTTACCCTGCGTGTTCAGCAGATAGACACATGCCAAACCGTTTGGTGCCAGTTTCCATGCATCTTCTTATCATAAGCCGATAGCGGGGCTCAAAGACATGAAGTGGACACGGCACCGTGGGGAAGGCCATGGCACACACAAAGATGGGGACATCTCTGGTCAGACTGTTGGGTGAGGGAAAATGTAAACTTAGAAGTAGGAGCAGTTAGAAACAAAGGGGAATATTAGTCACTGTAAAATAGAAAAAGCTAGCCAACCTCAATTCTCTCATTTACAACATAAAACCCTCAGGCCTGTCTCAGTCTTTAGTGGGGAAAGGAAGCCAAGGACCACCTCATGAGAAAGTTCTCAGCTTACCAGGTTTCCTGCCAAGCCGGTCTTATTTAATTTGATGAGACAGAACATGCTGAATTGTATTAACTTACTTGGATAAAGTTATAGCTTACGACTATGATTAAAAAAAGTTCTAATGACCTTGAGGGCACTATGCTAAGTGAAATTAGTCAGAAAAAATGAATACTGTATGACCTCACTTACAAGTGGAATCTAGGAAGAACAAAACCAAGTTCATAGACACAGACAAAAGATTGGTGTTTGCCAGAGGCTGAGGTTGGGTGGGGGATGGGTGAAGGGGGTCAAAGGTACAAGCTTCCAGCTGCAAAATATGTAAGTCCTGGGGATGTAATGCACAGCATGGTGACCACAGCTAATCATACTGCATTGCATATTTGAAAGTTGGTAAGAGAATGGGTCTTAAAAGTTCTCACCACAAGAAAAAAAATTTGCTAACTATGTATAGTGATGGACGTTAAGACTTATTGTGGTGGTCATTTTGCAATATATATAAATATCAAAGCATTATGTTACATACCTGAAATTCATATAGTGCTATGCATCAATTTTACCTCAATAAAAATAAATAAGAAGAAGAGAAAAAAGTTCTGATAAAAGCAAAAACTACAAGTAGTCAAAGGTAATGAGTTCTAAATAAAAAAGAGTGGAAGAATTATAAGACCTCAATAGTTAAAGTTTGCTACAACACACAACTCTAATCACTTTAAAAGATAAAAACAACTGTCAAGACTATTTCACGGGGTAAACCTGTTTTCCCTCCTGTTTCTATATACTGTGCCTTTTCAATTCTGAAAAATTCAGTACCACTTATTTAGATACAAAAAGCAACTACATAATTTTGTGAAGACACACTTTTTTTTAAAGTGGGATCCATACCCAGCATGGGGTCCAACATGGGGCTTGAACTCATGACCCCGAGATCAAGACCTGAGCTGAGATCAAGAGTCAGACACGTAACTGACTGAGCCACCCAGGGGCCCCAGGAGGACACACTTTTGAAATATTTTTTATGACCCCTTTCAATCAAATTTCCATAAACTCTTTGCAATTAATATTTTTTTCTATTTTTAGGTCTAATTTCTCTGCCAAGGGGGGATAAAAACCTGAGAAAAGTATGAGTGCAAGGGTTTCCTTCTTTAATCTGAACTCAAAACCAAGTACATACAACATGAGGACTTACTTTGACAGCTCTGTCATTTCTTCATCATAAATTCTCTTCCTATCAGAGAGTTCATCAGATAAATATCGAAATATTAATTCTTCGGCCAAAATAGTTATATTAAAATTTCTGCTTGCCAACAACTGTAACAAAAGGAAATGTTAAATAATACCACATCGTAATTCATTCTAGAGTACAAAGCACTCTGTCCCCAGTAGAAAAGGTCAACCAGGGCGGAGAGGGACAGAGTCTTCGGGAAGACAAAAGGATGGGGATGGAGAGCCAGGAGGTCAGTCAGCCTGGGGTAGCGACAGGGGCAGGGCAGTTCCTCCCATCTGAGCAAAAGGCAGGAGAAGGTGTTCATCACCTGGAGGAAGGATGAGTGAATCCCAGTCTTGCTGGCTTCTGCATTCTCAATCATGTATCACAATGTTAGGGAAGGGAGAGGAAGTGAGGAGGATATGTTGCGAAAGAAGAGAAATGGGAAATAATCACCCGAGAAAGTGGAAAATTGAAGCTACTAGAGAAGCATAGTAAGAATGACTACTAATGTGGATAGTCGTGCGCGCGCTGGGGCGCTGCGGGAGAGCCCCCGGAGAGCTGGTTGTGGCTGCTCGTCCCCGGACTGCTGCACCAGGGCGGAGGAGGAGCTGGAGGCTCTGAGGAAACAGAGGCTGGCCGAACTGCAGGCGAAACATGGGGATCCTGGCGATGCAGCACAACAGGAAGCAAAACACAGGGAAGCAGAAATGAGAAACGGTATCTTAGCCCAAGTCCTGGATCAGTCAGCCCGGGCCCGTTTAAGTAACTTAGCACTTGTAAAGCCCAAAAACCTAAAGCAGTAGAGAATTACCTCATACAGATGGCAAGATATGGACAACTAAGTGGGAAGGTATCAGAACAAGGTTTAATAGAAATCCTTGAAAAAGTAAGCCAACAAACAGAAAAGAAAACCACAGTTAAATTCAACAGAAGAAAAGTCATGGACTCTCATGAAGAGGACGATTATTGAAATTTAAGATGTTTAGAGACTGGAACTTAATGGAACAGTTCTAGGACAGATAATACTGGGTAGAAGTGAAGATCTGATTATTTACTTTGTTTATTGTCTATATGCCTTTTAAAAAAATAAACTTGTTATGCAAAATAAAACAAAAAAAGAATGACTACTAATGTTTTGAGTCTAAGATTTAAGACTGTGAATTTAAACTGAAACCAATCTTCCTAATTTTGTGGCTTTTTCTCTAGCTTTGCTTTGTTACTTATATGGACATGTGCGAGAGGCAGAGTTGACTTTATTTGGATTGGGAAAGAGACTGAGGGACCAAGGAATTAGAGCTGGTTGTGAAGGGAAATAGGTGGAAACTGAATTAAAATGTGCCAGGATCCCAGTGGCTGGAAGGGTCAAATGTAGCTGAAGATCTATATTACTCTGTGTGTGTGTGTGTGTGCACTACTTTTATCTTAGGCATATGAATTTGCAAATAACAGCTCTTTTCCCTAACGTCCTAATATATATCAGGTACCAATTACAGACGTTTCATATAAATGAAGTTAGGCCTTGAAATAGCCCTATCCCAGAAGTATTGTCTACAATGCACTAATAAAGAAGAGGGGTCTCAGAGGGGTTAAGGGACTAGTGTAGAGCCACAGTGGCACCAGGACTGTGGGACTGTTAGGTCTCAATATGAGCCTGTTGCTTTGTTAACGTGCCGCATTTCTGGGCTTGCTCTAGAGATTTCTAACAGTTACGTCTGGGCGAGTCCTAGACATAGTGCCACGTCTCCCTTTAGCTTGTGTGAAACAAGCTACGTGTATTGCTGTCACTAAGAACTAGGAGTTCAGCCTCAGGGACACAACTGTGTTTCAGACCCTCAGTAACAGAATAACCAGCAGAAACAAGTTTAACTTAATTCACAGTAAGTATTATTAACGACATCCATATTTTATACTGTTAGTTTATGGCACCATTTACTGAAGAGTAATACAATTTGCTTTACTTGGCATTACGTTACCCAAGACTTGTGTGCATACCTAGATAGTTGATGATTCGTGTTTATAATAATGTATGTGAGAAAGTCTAAGCTCATGAAGGGGTTTCTGCATCAAAGAAAGAGCGAGGTATGATTTTTAATTTTATTTGGTTTCGTTATATTCCAAATTCTGCAACACTGGCAATCTATGCAGAACTTGCACTCAACCATTCACCCATTCATTCAATCATTCATTCAGCATGGATTTCCTGAACCTCTACTATGTGTTCTGGCCCCTGGAGATAGAGTGAAAACAAGACAGAAGTAGTCTCTGTCCCTAAGGAGCTTATATTACAGTGCCAACGTCAACGCACTACTTAATCACATAGCCCCTAGCAGAGAGCACTGAACGTGGAAGTGAACAGAGGGTCTGTGTTACACACAGTAGTCATAAAGACATGCATTTTACTGTCTGGGAATAAACAAGCCACCTGCAGGCCCACCAGCCCAGACAAGCATGGGTACAACAGGGTAACAGGCCAGATGCTATGCTACTGTTAGCAAGAAGAGAGAGCAAAACACAGTGCAATGGACCTGCGGAGGAACCGCCAAAGGAAACTGCTACTCAAAAGCACTGTCATCATGACACATGGCACATAGTACAATCAATCATATTCATGATGAGAGTCCTGGTTAACTTAGAGAGTTTCAGCATGTATGCAATTTAAAAAAGCAAGTATGTACACAGAATGATTTAGAAAGGTCTCAATTATAACTTATTTTAACAAATTTTGGCAGTAAACTATGTTACAATTATTTAAAAATTCACCTAAGTATAATATCTCCTTTACCATATCAAATTCAAAAATAAATTTTACTGGACATTTGTTTTAAAAAGACCACTTTAGCCTAGGGCACCTAGGTGGCTCAGTCCGTTAAGCATCTGATTCTGATTTCAGCTTGGGTCATGATCTCAGGGTCTTGAGACTAAGCCCCGCATCAGACTCCATGCTCAGCGGGGAGTCTGCTTGAGATTCTCTCCCTCTCTCCTTCCACCCTCCTTCCCCAGCTTACACCCGCACATGCACACACTCTCTTTCTCTCTAAAAATAGACAAATCTTTAAAAAACCACTTTGTCCCACTTAAAATGCATTAAGTGAGTTTAATCTCTAGTAGTAATTAAGGCAAATATAATTAGTATCATTTTATGGATTAAAAAACCCGTCCCCCCCAAGAGGTTAAATAACTTGCTTAGTGGAAGGTTAGTGGCACCAGAGCCCAATAGAGTTGATATTCACAATTTGAAAAGTTGATCAGAAGGCCTTTAAAAGCTTTTAAGTGTTGTTCATTGTATTTACCATACCTAAGGATAGATTTAACAGTTTATTTTTGAGTTAGACATAACTAAATAGCTTCCCTCCATGGAATCTTAAGTATTACTGGCTTTGATTACAGACAAGACACAACTGACAACACACCAAAGGGATTTCCCAGTAGTCAAAAGTGATCAAGTCTTCGATCCTATGCAAAACTGAGTACTACAATATGACTTCACCTTGAGATGAGGTAAAGGACAGAATCCTTGGCACACATTAAGTGCGCCATAATGTTATCGCAACCCTTTATGATTAACATATGGTGAGAACTCAGTAATGTTATCTCAACTATTTATAACTAACACATTGTAAGAGCTCCAATTATGTTACCTGTTTTCAGGATATCTCAACTATAATTCATGCCTGAAAATTTCCCTGACGTTTAATTGTTTCTGCAACTAAACTTCCCTTGTGTACTTTCTGAGAAATCAGATAGGAAAAAGACCTATCTTTGACTGGAGAAATCCAACTTTCTTTAGTAAATGGGTAGTGGAAGCAAAGCCAACCCCAGAAATGAGCATCTACTGAGGGATGAGAGGAGTGGCTGAACGGTCCTGTTGTTTCAGAAGAAATACTTACTTCTGAGAGTTTTTCTTTACACAGTGGACAATGTGGGGCATGGTCGAGGCAGCGTTCAAGGCATTTCAGGCAAAACGTATGTCCACATGGTGTAGTAACAGGCTCAAAGAGCAACCTGGAAAATATATCTGAGTTTTTAGCCAAAAATGTCCAGAAGAGATTTTCAAATAATCTATTTATTTTCTAAGAATTCCTTAAGATAATTCCCTTACAGCTGTAGAAAGTATGGATATCCATTTCCATTGAGATTTTCCTTATCAAATTTTTTGAAAATAAATCATTTATTACTAAGGTATACGTAATTTCTCTGATAATAAAAAGCCCATTATGTTTAGGATATCCAATTCAGAAAGGATGAGGTTTTCAAACAGTTGCACAGGTTCTCTGTCATCCTACCTCATGCAAAGGGCACACTCAAAGTCAGTTACATCTATGGAGAGCTCTGGACTTTCTCCTATGTTAGAGGTCATGTTCCTTTGAGGTGAGGAATCTGCCTCTGAAAAAGTTTAAAATGCTATAATTAACATTGCTCATCTGGACAAGAGCATGCAGCATCTGCATTTCCTCTGGCTAAAATGTGTTACACCAATATTACAAATCATGCTGGGCAGGAATAGTTCCTATCAGATTAACCATATATAACAATAACCTATCTGGACAGTGAGCATGAATAAAAGTTAAAAGTTATAACTAAATTTTCCCTATTTCTGACTATGAAGTTTTTGTAGGATTAACAATTTTAAACTGTTCTATAATCATAAAGCTGATATATTCCTTTCATTATTAAACTATCCATATAAATTTTTTTTTAATATATTGAATATTAGCTAACATTCTATCACTCTGGAGTCATACAACTCCATGACAAAATAACTTACTGACCTTTCTTGGGAATTTTCCCAGGGCCATTCAGGTCATGCACATCCTCCAAATCATTTGGAAATTGTCTCTTTAAACCGGTGCTGGGTGCTACTGGAAGGATACTCTCTAACACTTCTTTATCCTCTTCAAAGTGCAGACCCAGTATAAAATACAAAACTGAAGAATTGGTATTTCTAAACACATCAGATTTCTCAGATGGATTCTGGTTAAGTAGGAAAAAAGAACCCTGAATATTAAAGAAATCATAGCATAAGAGGAAACAATATTCATGTAGTAGCTTTTCTTAGAAATCTCTGGAAAAAAGAGGGCTTATGCTCTTCCTTCACGATTGGTTTCATCTATTAACTTCCAAGATGAGCTTTACACTTCCCATAGTAAGATACAGAATACTTCTTTTTGAGACAGATCAACTGAACATCAGTCTTCATATATTCAAATCATCCTCTGTTTTCTTTTCTCCACGCCAAAATAAATTCGAGTCTCCTGATGCCTGGGGTTCTCAATGTGTGATGTCCTGAATGTTTCTACATGTTTCTTTCAATTATTTTCATTACTTCCACCAACTTCCTTTAAAACTTAAAAACTTTCAGGTTGAGGAGCTAGAACCAGTCTTGAGAAGTACTTCCAACTAACATAATGCCACAGTCTGAATAACTTGTAAGTGTTCAAAATTAAGGCATTACATAAAGCTTAATCAAGATAATCCTGACAAACACATGCACTTCATACCTTAGAACTCCCTGCACCACCACCTTCTTCCAGAGGCTGGGTGTTTACATGGCTGGCACACTGAGCCTTTAGCCTGCTGTTCAATATTCTGCTTTGGATGGAAGATGTCAAATTCTGAGGCACATTTTCTGAAGCTGGAAAAAACACCTCGCATATTACCTATAAAATTTCCAAGAAGAAAAAAACAATTTTAAAACACTTTTGAAAAATACATAATATGTCTTAAAGATCCAAAGGAAACTCTAAGGCCAAATAGGCCTAACACATTGAAAAGAATAATTACCATAGTCCAACTGCCACTATTTCAAAACTCCAGTTTCTGGAACCATAATCAATGCTTTAGACAGTTCAGCTACCAGTCCCTTTCCAGCTTAGTCTTACCAATTATAAAATATGAGTATTACCAGTTCTTTCTGTCTGGTCCTTATATATCTGCTACAGAAAATCATCCTTAAAAGGCTCATGGTTAAGAGAGAAAAGTGGGGTGGAAAGGTTGTGGGGATCCTAAATTAAATCCAAGTTGTGATCATCCACAACTGAGATATTTCTAGAGGAACTGCTCAACTTACAAGAGAACCAGAAGAGCCGCCTAGTAAAGAACTTTAAAGGAAGACCAGGTGAAGAGCCCTAATTCTAGTTCAAGAGCCATGGACTAGCCTCTGGTGGTGGTGGGAAGTGACTGCCAGTCACTCGATGGTCCTGCCAAACCTCATGGACTCAGCTGAATCCAAAGGCTTAAGAGAGGTATAAAGGAGTGACCGAAACCCAAAAAAGAACCTGCCACTGTTCTTCATGTGACAGATCAGTGCACCAGTACCCATGACCCCTGTATCAAGAAAGAACAGCACTCAGCAGGGACATCAATGTCCTCAGCACTGGCTCTGGGGGGCTCCAGTAAAGCAGCAGAAGGCTGCCTGGGAGATTACTACATTTCATGGGCATCAACACGCTGGCAGTGTTGGGGCACTGAGATAGAAGACATCCACCACTCACAGAATGCTACAGGGAAAAACATCGTATCTGAAATAGCACCAGACAGACAAGAAATCACCAGACCTAGATTCTGGCCCTGGGACCTTTGTAAATCTGCTTAAGTTTGAGCTCAGGCTGAATTTCTTAAGCTGTTGTAAAGAGCAGTTGAGATACGTTTTAAGGTTATTCTGAAATTTGCAGGTGGGACAAAGCAGGCAGGGTAAAGAGCAGTTGAGATACGTTTTAAGGTTATTCTGAAATTTGCAGGTGGGACAAAGCAGGCAGGGATAGAAGAGCCGATGTTAAGATTGAGTATTATTCTGACAAGTTGAAACAATGGCCAAAACCCATAAGTGATAATTTGACAGCATTAACAAAGACCAATCCATCGCACAATACAAGGATCAAAAGTACTGCTAGAAAGTTCTCACTGAAAACAAAAAAAGATCTAGGTGTTTGGGCTAACCAAGGTTCTAATAGGAGCCAACAGTGTGATGGTATTAGGCTAAAAATAAACAAACACGCTTCATGATATGAACACAAAGGAAGGTAAAAGTTCCCCAAGTGTCGCTGTCAGATGTGGATGCTGAGGTACACTAGAATGCATCCAGAGGAGGAAATCTTACAACTTTGTTCCATGAGAAAAGGATGTTCAGTCCAAAGAAAGACTTAGGGCAAAGATAACAGCCAATCTCAAATACCTAAGGTGGTTTAAAATGGAGGAGGAAGAACAGATTCATTCCCTCTTGCTCCAGAAAATAAAACTAGCCTGTAAAGTGGAAATTGCAAGGTAAATGTATGAAAGAAGTCAGCAATGAATAGTGCTGAAATAGGGAAACACTGACATAAAAAACAAGAACTCCTGGTCACTGGAAGTGCTAAGACTAACTATTGTACAAGCTCTTATATATAGGGTGGGTTCCCACAGTAAATGTGATTCAATGACCTCTAATAAGACTGGGTTAAAGACCTGCATCGTGCTGGTGAAGCTTTGCGGGAAATTTCAAGTCAACCTTTCCAGCTGAACTGCTATATTTTGTATGTTATCACAATGTCTTTTATAGGGCTCCTATACAAACTATAATGCTTGAAATTACAACTCTAAGAAAACTCACTTTGCCTCCCCTAATCTCACACATTGACCCTGCCTCCCTAGCCCATGTCATTATTCCAGCAGAACGCAGCTGTGCAAATGCTGTCTCATGAAACATTGTGCTTTATCCCTGGATGAAAGTTATCAAACGTGTGAAACTCATCATCATTCCTGTGTGTTTTTAATCACATTGTCATGAATATTCAGAACTATATTATTTGTTTATTTGACATGCAGGAATTACTCAGCATGGACATAAAGGCTATATAAATGAGACTTAAGAAAGAATTTGTTTAAAGAAAGTCACACCTTCTGTGCTTCTTTCTTCACCAAGTTACATTCAGGATTTAAAGCAAGGCAGTAGAGAAACTCCTTTAACACTTCCTTACTTCTTCCCAATCCAGAAAGAGCCTGAGCCTTCATATGATGCCCCTGGATTCATCAAAAGACAATATACACATTTTTTAAAAAGTGTGATTATATACTTGCATACAAAGGGCCCCCCCCAAAAAATCATACAACTACTGAATTTTCATATCAGCTGGAATAAACAAAAACCCACCAAGAATGGCTCTAGCTCTACTGAGCAAACCCGAATATCTCATCAACACAGTCTATAAGCAGAACACAGGAGTCACCAAACTAGGAATTTAAGCCCAAGGCAGTTTCAAGGGCCATGCTAAGTACAAGAGAAGTGGCTATCTACCAATTTTAAGTACACTCAGTCAGGGGTGCCAGGTGGCTGAGTCGTTAAGCGTCTGCCTTCAGCTCAGGTCATGATCCCAGGGTCCTGGGATGGAGCCCCACATCGGGCTCCCTGCTCTGCAGGAAGCCTGCTCCTCCCTCTCCCACTCCCTCTGCTTGTATTCCCTCTCTCGCTGTGTCTCTCTGTCAAATAAATAAATACAATCTTTTTAAAAATTTAAGAAAAAATACACTCAGTCATCACAGATCACAACCACATTCCTGTTTTCAAAGAGCATAGTCTTGTGAGAGAAGACCGACATGACAGGAAGTATCTATAACACAAAATACCACAAGAGAAATAAACAAAGTGCAATACGGGATCAGTATTTTCCACCAGAATTTTTTTTTTTTTTTTTTTTTGTGAATGCAGTATTTTCTCAAATCGTTGTAAACATTGTAATTTGTTTTATCAATTCATATATTATATTTCCATTTGGGTCAGTCCTGATCAAGCATTTTAGTCTTTTTCTTCTTTATTTTATTTTTTCTTGTTAATCCCTGTTTCTTCATTCATATATATATTTTAAAAGATTTTATTTATTTATTTGACAGAGAGAGTGAGAGAGCACAAGCATGGGGAACAGTAGAGGGTCAGGGAGAAGCAGGCTTCCCGCTGAGCAGGGAGCCTGATGCGGGGCTCCATCCCAGGACCCTGGGATCATGACCTGAGCCGCAGGCAGACGCTTAACTATCTGAGCCACCCAGGTGCCCCTTCATTTGTATTTTAAAAAGATGTACTGTTTCTAACTGGTTTTATCTCATGTTGAGTCATACCCTTGACTTCCTAGACTTCATTGCTGAATGGAAGACTTTTGGGATCCTTCAACTACATGAAGGAGATCTATTTGAGAGGTTTTATTTTCAGGTGTGTGATAGGGAAGCCAGGGCTCAGGCTGGGAGCCCCATGTATCAGGATTTAGAGGGGCTTACTTAGGGCGGGGTTGGGGGAGAACCTGCTGCATGCATTGGCAGCCACACTTTCCCCAAGCAGTTTGTCCAAATTATTTGCAGGAGGTGGAGGCGGGGCATTATGATTTTTTTTTTCCCCACTACTGTTCTGCATGGCAGAGTGAACTGGCATGTCAAGCAAACCTCTTTTCTTATTCCTTTCCCAAGAGCTTAAATTGAATCTTCTCTGGAGTTTGCATTAGGACATGAGCTCAGCTCCCATTTGAACTATAATGTTCTCTGCTTTTTCATCCATTCACCTGCATTCCAAAAATTTGCTGAGCTTTCTCATCTCATAAATATTCCCTATTCTCTTCCGTGATGGACTTATGGAGGTATAATTTATATACAATAAAATGCCACCAATTTTAAAGGTACAATATAGGACTTTTGACAAATATATAGTGTGTAAGTACAACCACAATCATGATGTCGCACATTTCCATCACCCCAGAAAGTTCTCACATGCCCTTCAAAGTCAATCCTCATCTCTCTCCAAGTCCGGGAACCACTGATCTGTCACTAGAGTTTTGCCTTTTTGGGAATTTCATATAAATGAAATCACACATGTATTTCATTGATCATTTCTGTTGTCTTTCTAGTCTCTATTTCGTTTCTGCTCTAATTTTTATTCCTTTTGCTAAATTTGGACTTTTTTTTCCCTAGTTACTTGAGGAATAAGATTAAGTTGTTTGAGGTCTTTATTTTATTAATGTAAGTGTAAACCTCCCTATTAGAACTGTTTCTGCTGCACCTGATAAGTTTTGGTATGTGTGTTTCCATTTCCCATTGTCTCAAGATTTTTTTTTTTTAATTTCTCCTTTGATTTCTTCTTTGACTCATTGGTTGTTTGGAAGTCTGTTGTTTCATTTCCACATATTTGTGATTTTTCCAGGTTTCTTTCTGTTACTATTTCTAGTTTTCGTGCCACTGTGTCTGGAAAAGATACTTGGTAAGATTTCAATCTTCTTAAATTTGTTAAGACTTGTTTGGTGACCTAACATATGATCCATTCTGGAGAATGTTCTGTTTGCTCTTGAAACAATATGTATTTTGCTGCTCTTGGGTGGAATATTCTATATGTATCTAGCAGATCCATTTGACCTAAAATACAGTCCAAGTCCATTATTTCCTTGCTGGTTTTCTGTCTGGACAATGTGGATTCGAGGGGGAAAGATTTTCATCTAAAGTTGGCTGCAAGGGCACCAGCTGGCTAGGGCGCAGAAGCATAGTCTCCATGCAGGTCTGGCAACTGTGTCCAACACTGGCAAAGGCTGTGGGAATCCTTAGCAGCCGAGACTGTGGGCCTCCTGCGGGTGTCTGTGACAGCAGTGATGGCTAGGGCTGTTGGCGGGAAAGACTGCTGGGATCCTGCTGTTGTACTTTGTCCATGGGTGTTAAGTTCCAGCCAAGAGATCCCTCTTGGCGACAGTCCTGGTGTGCTGGCATTCACAGCAGCAGAGAAGCTGGGGTCACAGGCTCAGTGACAGGCAGAACTACCTCAGCCCTTGGTCTGGGACACAGACTCACTTGCCGTGACGATAGTATCTGAGGTGTAAGAGTGTGTGCAGATCACCCATGGAACCGGGATCTGGGTCTCTGGAGCTCCTTGCTGTGACATGAGTTTAGGGGGATGATGGGGAGGGGGAGAGATGCATCAACAGATAGCCCAGGGATAAGAGGGCACAGAGGTACCCCAATTCAGGACCAAGGGGTGGGATACACAGCAATGGCAGCATGACCCAGTGGTAGCAGGTCAAAGCTATCACTTGGGACCCAGGATGAAGGGCACAGAGCAGCAGAAGCTCAGGTTTGAAACGGTGGGTCAATGACAGGGCTTCAGACTGAGAGGGTGGGCCACAACACAGAGGCAGCTCTGCTTCCTGTAGATGGTGAGGCCCTGTGGCATTCCAGTCCTGGAGAACAGGGCACAGCAGTAACTTGGGCTCCAGTGGCCAGGTGTCACCACAGCAATGGCACCAGCCCTGGGAAGGAGACCCTGAGGCAGGATTCTGGGCACTTCTATCAACTGGGTTCAGCATTGGTTAAGAGTATTGGGGTCCTCAGTAGCAAAGGCTGCAGAAGCTCATGGCAATGACAAGGATTGCAAGAGTCCTCTGGTTCTCTTTACCTCATGGGGTGAAATCCCTCTGAGGGGACACTTCTTGGTGTTGAGCTGCTCTGGACTGGGGAATGGAGTGATACAGGTAAAATACTTCTTACACTTTTCTTTGTGGCCACCCTTAGTTTTGGGGCTCTACAAGGTTTCTACTGCTGCTCTACTGTAGTCCAGAGCTTTCCCAGACGCTGTTTTCATTGGTTTATAGTTGTTTATTTATTGCTTTTGTTGATTTCGTGGGGGAAATGAGTGTTGGGACACCCCAGTCTGCCATCTTGCTGATAACTTCTGTTTACATGTTGATGGACCTATGGGTTATTTTCAGTCTTTGACTATTATGAATTAAGCTGTTATAAATATTATATTAACATCTTTTAACTTCTCTCGGGAAAATAACTAAGAGCACGATTGTTAGGTCACATAGGAAGTGTATGCTCAACTTTAGAGAAACTTCTGAACTGTCTTCCATTGTGGCTGTACTGTTCGGCATTCCCGCTGCGTGGTGTAAGGGTTTCAGTTGTTGGACATCCTTGTCCACAGTCCACACTTAGTATGGTCATTCTTTTATGTTTAAGCCATTTTAGTGGGTATATAGTGGTATCTCCTTGAGGTTTTAATTTGCATTTTCCTAATGACTAATGATGTGGAGCCTCTTTTGATGTGTTCAGTTGATATTCCTATGTCTTCTTTAGTGAAGTATCTGTCCTTGCCCATTACTTAACTGGGTTATTTACATTATGATTGAGTTGGTAAGTGTTCTTTATATATGCTATATACAGATATATGGCTTACCAGATAGGTCTTGCAAATATTTTCTCCCATTCTGTTTGCTGTTTTGTTTTTGTAGCATTATCTTTTTTTTTTTTTTTAACTACAAGCCCTTTATTAACAAGTCAATAAAAAAGGGAGAAAGATGTAAAAATACTTTTCTTGGAGGCCCCCCAGAGGGGCAGGCACTGTCAGAATCACCTGGCCAGGGAAGGCAACCCAGCCAGAGGCAGAACGAAAATCAGGGCCCTGTCCAGGGAGCGGCTGGCCCGGGGCGCTGAGAGGGGTGATGGCTCGGACCTCAGGCAGGGAATGTGCAAACGCTGAGGCCGTGCAGGGAGTGATGGGGTGAGGGGTTCCCGGAGGAAGCCCAGAGCACCGTGTTCCCCTGCGTGGGCAGACATGCGTGTCCACGTGAGAGCCGGTGCCTGCACGCAGCTTACCTACAGAGAGCAGAAGGAGGAGGTCCCCCGGCAGGAATGGGGGTGGGGAGGGCTCATCCCAGAGCTTGAGGAAATAGCTTAGAGAAGTCTCTGGAAGCCTGGGGCGAAGGGAGAGCGTGGAGGCCTCAGGAGCCCTGGCCAACCTGCCGTCGCTGGAGGACCTCAATGACACTCCCGATGCCATCCTCAGGCACCAGGGAATGGTCAAAGTTGAAGGTGCTGATGTAGTAGGCAGAGATGTTGGCCGCAGCCAGGGGGCCTGCGATCTGGGCCACGATCCCACACTCATCATTCTCCACAGCTCTCCTGAGGAGCTGGTCAGCGGGAGGTCACTGGGGAACTTTTTCTGCGTCTCAGCATCCATGACGATGGAGATGTAGCTCTCGATGAGGGAGAAGGCAAAGAAGTAATGGAGCTGGGTCCAGTACCACCAGAGGCTGCTTCCTTGGGGGCACTGTATGAATAGAAGAGGACATCGATGAGTGTGGTAGCGATGGCTCGCAATGTCTCAGGGTCCAGTGTGAGGACACAGAAGCGATTCTGTGGGCTCTGGATGGGATGCACGGTGGGGCTGGGCCCATGCTGAGAACGGGGAAAGCCATTGCTGGAATCATCCCTGGCAACAGGCACAGGCTCCCCACCCACTTCTCAGTAAATGTCGAACTCCTGGGATAGTGTGTGGATCACCACGGACAGGTCCTGTTCCCGCACCAGGATGAAGTCCGTCTGGTAAGTGGACAGCATCAGCACAGACACATGGTGCTCCGCCAACGGCGCAATGACTGAGCGGGCAATTTTGGTGACCCCAGCAAGCCTGCACTGCTGCACCGCTGTGGGATGACACGTTCAGCACCAGCCATGTGGCCTCAGCCACTTGAAGGAACTCAGATGGGGGTAGCTCTTTGAAGCCCTCCTCGTCCACCATGAGCGTGTAATGCTCGGGGGTCTCCGTCAGGCTGAAGAACTTGCACTGGCTGCGGCGGGGAAGGAAGAGTAGCTTGATGAGCGGGTGGGTGTAGAGCCAGAGACGTGGGCGGGCGAGGCTCAGCACCCGCACCCGGTGCTCTAGGATGTGCAGCTCCATCACGGTCCGCGCGGAGCCGACCCCACGGCCTACCAGACCCAGGCCGCCGCCGGGAGCGGGGCGGTGGGGGCAGTCTGTAGCATTATCTTTTGAAGAACAGAGTTTTCAGTTTTGATGAAGACCAATTTACTTTTTCTTTTACAATTTGTCCTGTGTCCTGGATAAGAAATCTTTGCTTTACAAAAAGTATCAGAGATTTTTATATTTTGTTTCAGATATGCTTTAGTTATAGACTATATGTTTAAGTTGATGGTCCATTTTGAATTAATTTTAATATATGATGTAAGGAGAGAGTTGAGGTTCATTTTTTTTTTTTGCAAATAGATATCCAATTTTCTCCTACTAAAAATGAAAAAATTATTCTTTTCCTATAGAGTTATCTTTGCACTACTGTAAAAAACAAATTCACCACTTATGTGTAGGTCTATTCCTTTACTGTCTTCTGTTTTAGTAATCTACACAGTTTTCAATACCGTAGCTTTATAGTAAGTCTTGGTATCAGGTAGTGTATTTCCTGCAACTCCATTCTTATTTTTTTAAAATTGTTTTGGCTCTTCTGTCCCTTGTATTTCCATAAATGTGTGTGTGTGTGTATATACATATACACACATACATATATGTATTTTAAAGCCAATTTGCCAAATTCTGCAAAGAAGAATACCAGAATTTTAATTGGAAGTGTTGTTTTTTAGGGAATCTGTCCTCTTACTAACATTGAGTATTCTGAACCTGGTACACATTTATACTTATTTAAGTGATACTTAATTTCTCTCAGTAATATTTTGTAGTTTTCAGTATATAAATCTTGTAGCTACTTTGTTAACCTTATCTCTAAGTATGTCATGTTTTTTTAAACTATTGTAACAGTATTATTTTTAAAATTTCATTTTTATAATTGTTTCTTGTTGGTGAGTAGAATATGACTGGTTTCACTTTTGCATACCGCCTTGTATCCTGCAAGCTTTTTGTAAATTTCTTGAGATTTCCTCACAATTATGTCAACTGTGAATAGACAGTATTGCATTTTCCTTTCCATTATTTCTTTTCTTTTTTGTTTTTGGTTTTGTTTTACCATTCTGGCTAGTACCTCCAGTATCTTATTGTGGTAAAAGCAAACACCTTTTATTTTTCTTGGTCTTAGCAGAAAGGCATTCCATTTCCTACCATTCAGTATGACGTTTGCTGTAAGGGTTTTCATAGACAGTGGTTTTCAGATTGAGGAAGGCCCCTGCTATTTCTAGTTCATACAAAGTTTTTAACATGGAGGGTGTTCAATTTTATCAAGTGCTTTATCTTCATTTATTGCATTTTTTCAGTCTGTCAATACAAATTGATTTTCAAATGAGATGATGAGAGGTATCAATGTAAAGTTTGTTTGTTTGTTTAAAGTTTTTTGCCTGGTTTTGTTATCACACTAATGCTGTTCTCATATAATAAGTGTTCCCCCTTTTCTGTTTTCCAGAAGAATCTTTGAAGGATTGGCATTATTTCTTCCTAAATGTGTGATAGAATTCATCAGTAATTCCATCTGGTCCTGATATTTTGGAGGGGAGGGTGGTTAACTACAACTTCAATTTCTCTAAAGAAAGATAAAGCTATTGAAGTTCTCTATTTCTTCTTGAATGAACACTGGTAGTTTGTATATTTCAAGGAGTTTGTTAACTTCTAGGTTGTTGAATGTACTGGTATAAATTTGTTCATAAAATGGTTCCTTTTTTAACCTTTTAATGTCTGTAGGATATATAGTGATATCTCCTCTTTCATTCCTGATATTAGTAATCTGTACCTTTTCTCTTTTTTCCTGATTAGTCTTGTGAGGTATATAAATTTCACTGATCTTTTCAAAACAGGTTTTGTTTCATTGACTTTTCTTTATTGTTTTTCTGTTTTCTATGTATTGACTCCTATCTCATATTATTTCTTTCTACTTACTTTTATTTTAATTTGCTCTTCTTAGTTTTTTAAGGAGGAAACAGATCACTCTTTTGAGAACTTACTTCTTTAATAATTTACTAATGTTATAAATTTCTCTCAAAGAATGGTTTTAGTTGCATATGATGAATTAGATGTAATGGGCTTTTATTATCAGTGATTTCAAAATAGTTCCTAGTTTCCTTTGTGATTTCTCCTTGGTTCCATGGATTTTTAGAGGTAATCTAATTAAATAACAAGTTTAAGGATTTCCTGGATGTTTTATTATCATCAATTACTCTTTTCATTCTATTGTCAGAGAGCATACTCTTCAAGATTTCAATAATTTGAAATCTATTGAGACTTATTTTACCAGGATAGGATTCTATGAGCATTAAAAAGCACAGGTATGCTTACCCATTTGAATAAGATCAAACTTATCACATGCCTATTTATATTTCTGGATATGGGCAAATATTTTGTTAGCACTTACTTATCTCCATTTGCACCAAAAGCTGTGAATCAGTATCAGCCATGACAGATGGCTTGAAAGGATAGTTTGCTTGGACAAAACACACTGGTATAGTAGTCCCCAACTGAAGACTCGAAGTTGGTTCCACAAGTGCTTCCGTATCATCTCAGCCACAGTTGGACAACTTCATCCTTCCCTCAGTCCTTTCAACTTACTTTCCAATGTTGCTTCTGCCCTAATCCTTTAGTTATAACATTAACCTGGAAACAAATTTCTATCCTACATTACCTTAAATTGATTTATCAGGGTATACTTCCACTAAAGCTGTTCTTCACTAGGCATTATCAAGAATTGAGGTCCATAGATTTGCAATAAACACTAAAGACATAACCCAAATCCCAAAAGCTAATAATTCATTTGCTGGTTCTCTTACAGTTAAAGTTCTCGATGTAACTTTGTAGTAACTAAGCCTGTCTTTCTTTTTTTAAAGATTTTATTTATTTGACAGAGACAGCACAAGTAGGCAGAGAGGCAGGGAGAGGGAGAGGGAGAAGCAGGCTCTCTACTGAGCAGGGAGCCCGACATGGGGCTCGATCCCAGGACCCTGAGATCATGACCTGAGCCGAAGGCAGCCGCTTAACCGACTGAGCCACCCAGGCACCCACTAAGCCTGTCTTTCATCACAGACACACTGCCAAGTTTTTACCTCAAAAAATCAGTACTGTGGAGAAGAAACTAGCCTCATAGGGCAATACAGCCTCATAGGGCAATGCAATTTCTGTCATTCAGAAATACTAAACTTATAATTCATAACAATTAAGGCTCAATCATTACTGACAGAAATTACTTTAGAAGATTAATAGATCAAGGGATAGGAGAAAAGTCATCAGAAAAAGGAAGAGCAAATATTTTTAGTGAAGCAAGCAAGCAAAAAACAGATTTCTGGGCTTGGTCCAACAAACATTTGTTTCCCATCCTTAGGCTCATCCCCAATTCCAATTTAACACTTAATCTAAGCTGAAAACATTTTTCTTTTGAAGAATGGAAGGTTGGATAGAAGGAAGGAAAGAAGTCCATCTTTTCTATTAACATGGGTTAATGCCTCTTCAATGTTTCTAAAACAAAAATGATAAACAGTAATAGAGAGGGACAAAATATTTTTACTTACTAGCTAATAGAGCATGTGATCCATGTTAATTTCATTACAAGTTCATTAAAACTTTAAAATCTCTTTTGGGTTTTAAAATCCAGAGATTCATGAAAAAAAGCTACAACTTTTATTGTTTCGCTTCTTAATCTTCAGTGACAACTTAAGCTATCATTACTATTTTAACAAAGCTTATTTTGTGTCATCACAGAAAGAAATATTAGACCTTTCCAACACAGACTAAAATTATCCCAAAATACATACAAAACATTCATCCTTTCACTAACAACATTCGTATGTTCCATGCATATTAGGGCCCAACTGTTAATCATGATTATTATATGATCTTACTAACGTGTAATTTTAAACATTTCCCTTTACTCACAAATTATACAATTTTATCATTGTGTTTATGTATTTATTTGTTTACTAAAAAGGCATATTATTCAGCTAAATATCTCCTAAAAGTAATCTAAATTAGTGTTTCTTAACTAAATCCCATTGGGAGACTTTTTGGTCTTTTAAACTGAGTTGGTTTATTATGAAGTGGATTGCTACATTTAGACTACTATCATGAGGGAAATGTACACTGTGTGTAGGTACCTAATCACAATCATCTTCATTTATTCTTAAGAAAATCCCATAAACTTACATTTATTATCTCCAAAGCCAACCAATACCTTAGTCAAATACCTTAGTCAAGAAAGGTTCATTCTGACAAACGGCATTGGCATCCTGTAGAGCCTGCTCGTAGTTCTTCATGGTTAAATATAACTCTGCTCGCAGCAGCAATAATGAATTATCTCTAGGAGCTGAAAGACATGGGCAAGAGAAAAAAATTAAAATGACTACATTTAAAAATAAATCTTTAAGTCACTAAGAATATTAAATTGGAAAATAAACATAAAGGCAAAATAAATACTCCCTCAAATCATATGTGGTTTAATAGCTTGAGAAGTATATTTTACATAGCTTCTCTCAGGAAAACAGAAAGAGTATTAACATGACTTCAAAACGCACCAAGAAAAACAGACTGCCGAACACACTAGGCACAACATTATCTGCAATAATAATGAGTAAATGCTGAATAATCTTAATGCTATAACTAGGTATTAAAAATGAAAAGATTTAAAATAACTTTCTTGAGGGGCGCCTGGGTGGCTCAGTGGGCTAAGTGTCTGCCTTCAGCTCAGGTCATGATCTCAGGGTCCTGGAATTAAGTCCCGCATCGGGCTCCTTGCTCAGTGGGGAACCTGCTTCTCCCTCTCCCTCTCCCTGCCAATCCCCCTGCTTGTGCTCTCTGTCAAATAAATAAATAAAATCTTTAAAAAATAAATAACTTTCTTGAAAGTATACAAGGAAATTCATACTCAAGAAACAAAAGAATGTATAATTTGTTTTCTTATACAACTGCATGGATGTGGACTTATCATCATAAATGTACCTACAGTATGTTCTCTTAAGTGAGAAAGGAAAGGGAAAAAAATTTCCTCAAACAGAAGAGAGCTTGAGAACTGCTCATATGAGACTATGGAGATAAGCTTCGCTACATAGAAGCCAAGAGTGACTCTATGAGCTGATAAGTAGTATGTGAAGTCCTTGACTTGGCAAGGTACCATGGAAAGGTGACAAAGCCAGAGCTTATGAAAGCAGAACCATCACAGCCATTTTCATCCTGCTGGGACCTGGTTCACTCTACCTACGCTCATTGCAGGATCTTTCCAATAGAGCTACAGCATGCATTTTAATTGATAAATAGTCTAAGTACCTAATGTGTTCTTATTTCTCTACCTAATACCCATTTCAGTTTGCTCCAGAACCTAGACCTTGACTCTCTTTCAAACTAGCCACTTGGTACTTTCCAAATGCCACCACGTCTAGTTTATGTAGGGAAGTGGGCAAGTGTGCATAATAGAACTCATGCAAAAGGATATTACATCAAGACATGGGGGCGCTACTTATGACTCTGTTATTGCTCCATATGTGTAATAGAGAGATGGTCTGACAAGGAAAAAAGGTGGGAAACGAGCAAAGATATGGCAGAAATGGAGAATCTAACAATAAACGTTGAATCTTTTAAAATGACATGGACTGGTTAGAGTAAGGATCAACAACTTTTTTCTGCAAAAAACCAAACAGTAAGTATTTTAGGTTTTGTAGGCCAGGAAGAAACTTGAGGATATTGTACAGGTACTTATATAACAAGAAAACAAATTTTCACAAAATTTTTATTGGCAAAATTTAAAAATAACTAATAATTTAGTACTTTTTTGTAATACAGTTCTACTAATTAGAAGAATGGAATTCTTTGGGGGAAGGGACAACATTTTCCTTAAAGTTCAAAGTTAGTGTCCCCTATCATCAAAATAAATTGAAAATGTTCATGTGCTGGTTATGATCTGTAATGAGATTTTATGTTTTTCATCTTGGAATATGAAATACGATGTCAATTCACAAGCATATGATTTTAAATTGAGCATTTTATTGCTTATAAGTTCTTTATAGAATTCTACTAGATTCTTCTCATATTTGTCTGTAGTATGTCATATAGTAAACATAATTACAGATTAATCATTTCCAACTGAAGACTAAGTAAAAGTTCCTCAAATGCACAATTAAATACATTTTCAAATACAGAAATAAACTTTATAGAGACTTTTGGAAATCCCAAAAACAAAATGCTGCTAGAACTATAGTTTGAGCTTGAGAAATACACCTGCTGCAAATGGGGTGAGAATGAAGATCTCCCACCTTGTTCCTACTTTGCCAAGAGTTGATTCTCTTGAATCCTCTAAACAACCGTATCATGTGAAAACAATCAGCTTTGACTCTGGCATGCGAGGTTTTATTCCTTGTGTTTCTTTTCATTCCCACATTGAAGTAACAGTGGTGATAGCAGACATTTTTCTTCTCTTATTCTTGAATTTAAAAAAGGAAATGTGGAATGTTTTAACATGAAATATGTTTACTGTAAGCTCCTGACAGAGGATATTTATCAAATTAGTTAAGTTTCTTTCTATTCCTAGTTTTCTAAGAAGGCATTATAACAAGTGGGTGCTGAATTTTATAATATGCTCTTTCAGCAGGAGAGAGATTACTTGGAGTTTATCTCCTTAAATCTGTCCTTATAGGGAATTACATTGAACAATTTGCCTAATACCGAAACATCCTCATATTCTTGGGATAAGCTCATCTTGATCTTAAGTCTTACTATATTGCTGGATTCAGATACTAAGAAATTTAACTAAGATTTTGGCAACTATGTAGATAGTAAGACTAGCCTGTAATTTTTTTCCTGTCAAAGCTTAGTTGATTATAGTATCAAAACTACACTAATCTTATAAAACTAAATGAAAAATGTCCCATATCTCTCCACGATCTGAAATAAGATGAAAATTAATCTGCCTTGAAAGCTTGTTAAAATTTGCTTGACCTTAGGGTCTTTTTCAAAAGAAAAAGCCCTGAGTAGCACTTCTATTTTGTTTGTGGTTATTGGCCAATGTCAGGCTTTTACTTCTTCTTGGGTCAATTTTGATAATTTATAGTTTCCTTAAAATTGTCCTTTTTATATAGGCTTTAAAATCTGTTATGTTCTTTTATATCTGCAATTGTGCTTCTTTTTCATTCCTGATCCTAATTGTGCTTTGCTTTTTCTTCATCACATTTGCCAAACATGTTTCTTTTATTGGTCTTTGTAATGAACCAGCTTCTGACTTCTTAACCAACATAATTTTTTTCTGTTTCACTAATGTTTTCTTCATTATCTCTTTGCTTACACTTGTGTTAGCTTAACTGATCTTGACAAAATTTTTGGAGTTAAAAACACTCTTCATTTACATTTATTTTTAATCATTCTTCTCTAATGAAGGCAGTTAAGCCTCTACTCCTCACATTCTAAAGGCTACTTTTACTGAAGTCCAAAACAGTCACTTCCCATCCAGACACTGAATGAATCAAACTGTTTTCTTTGTTGACTTCCACCATCTAGCAATCCATTTATGAAGCCAGAACTTCATAATTTAATCTTTTAAAACATTTCAAATAAATCTCTACACATTTCCTAAGCATTAAGCCTTAAGCTTAATAAAACTGAATTTATGGAGGAATCACAAAAAATAAATGGAAGAGATAAAGCACCTTAAAATTATTTGTGGGGAGACAGCTTATGGAAGAAAAACACACGTGTGCACCTTCCAAGAAACTGACAAAAATATCCAAACAGTTGATCAATTAACCCTGTATGGGGAAAGGAGTCAGAGTACAGTTTGAGAACCAGGCTTTGTGAGGAAAAGAAGAGATAGTCTACTCTCTACATTTGTGTTTAATCAAAGACTGTTCTCCTCCAACTGCAACCCAGGGTCATTGTCATGCTGGGAGCTAGAGTTACAACTGTAAGATCTGTCAAATGAGTGGGCAGTGATGAGAAGTAGAGAACTGTACAAGTGTTATTTATGAAGAGTTGAATGACTTGATACACAAAGCAATGTCAGCTAAGTAGTGGTCCTGGTGAATAGAAAGAATAAATGGCAGTACTCCTCATGGTTTATTTGTTCAAAATGATGTAGGCCTTACAAAGTCAAGGCTACAAATCATAAATGTGTATCTTGAACTTTTATATACATATACACCTGAGTGATCACTACCCAGATCAGGACCTAAGAAAGCTCCTTTACACTTTCCCAGGTAGTACACCTTTCCTAAAGGTAACCACCATTCTGACTTCTATCAACATGAATTACTTTCACCTGTTTCTGAACTTATACATGGGGTTATATGAATAGAATGTACTCTTTTGTATCTGTCACCATCATTCTGTGAGATTTCTCCATAGTGCTGTATGTCTCTCTTTAAAAAAAAAAACAAAAACTGCTGCCTATGGAAAGAGCCAAGATGTCCATCAACAGATGAATGGATAAAGATGTGGTATAGATATACAATGCAATATTATGCAGCCATCAAAAAACCCTGAAATCTTGCCATTTGCAACGACATGGATGAAACTAGAGGGTATTATGCTCAGCGAAATAAGTCAATCAGAGAAAGACAAGTATCATATGATCTCACTGATATGAGGAATTCTTAATCTCAGGAAAC